TTATTTTTTAGTTTCACTGTTAATTTATACAATATTCCATTATTTAACTGTTTAATTAATTAGGGTGCAAGTATCGTTGCCAGAAAACGATATTCTGACTTTGTTGAGTTGCGATCGCAACTGATAAAAGCTTATCCAAAATTCTATAAATTGATTCCTTCTTTACCACCAAAACGAGTAATGGGAAAATTTATGCCCGAATTTATCGAGAAACGTCGCAAAGATTTGGAATATTTTTTAGCCTATGTGTTGTTGCATCCAATACTTGGGCCAACAGCTGTTGTGAGAAGATGGTTTTCAAATTCATAGTTCAATAATATGTTATGTTGGTTAAGAGAAAATGTTGGAACTTATTGAATCTAAATTTTTTTATGGTTCAGCTAATGTCTGATGAATTGTTGAAATCCATATTTAAAAAAAAAAAAAAACCAAACAAAAAACCCATTCGTTTAAATTTATTTTACTTGACGTTAGTAGATTCGCTTCCATCTACTATTATAAACAATATTTTAACTATAACTTCATTATTTTGTTTTTGTATATATTTTAATTTTTGACATCATAAGTACACTATACGTAATTTATTAGTCCTTTTAAAAAGTTTTTTTTTTTTCTTATTTTGTAAAGATAGCTTTGTTTTAATGAAAAAAAAAAAGATATTTTTCATAATATATCGATATTGTTTTTTTTTCTTTAGCTTGATGAATTATAACAAATAATTTAATAATTAATATGGCAGTAAAACTGAAGCTGAGATTTAGGGCCTCTATTTAGGTCCATTAAAATCCACTTTATGAACACTAATAAACTCTAACCCTAAATCTTAATGCATGTAACATTAAGATTGACGTATTACGTACGTACGCACCTCAGGCGACCTCAGATGACCTGCATTAGAATCAGTAATGGTAATAAGTGGCTTAAACTATATCCTAATTTTAGTGTCCGCAGATTAGAGTCAACGATCGAATCCGGATCCACATAGAGATCCGTTGAACCGGATTTGTATATTTACAGCTATTATCGACCGATACGATGGATATTCGACTGATTGGTAGAGCTGGGATCCATGAATATCCGGTTAAAAATGATTATCCGGCAAACTCATATGATCATGGCGCAACATAGCCTTGATATTTTATATATTACCCAAATATTATGTTTATTTTGTCTATATATTTTCTCAACAAATATCTTGGGTTCAATTTTGTCCAATACATTTTGTGTTTATGATGGTGGTGGCTTTTTAGCTATAGTTGCTTCTGGTGGTTTATTGGCAATTGTTCCTGGTGGTTTATTAGCCCTAGTTGCTTCTGGTAATTTATTGGCAGTAGTTGCTTCTAGTGGTTTATTTGTGCTAATATTTAATAATACTTTAAGATCTTTGATATTAATTGCAAGCTCACTAGCAAGTAATATTATTAAACTTGCCTATTTGAAGTTCCTACTTGAATATTTTATATAATCTAATTGTGCTAAAACCCCAGATATCTTTAATATATATTATATTTTTTTTTTTAGCAATTGTTTTAGCAAATTAATATTAATTTTAAAATATGTTATAATTGACTATTTTGTCAGATTATATTAATTTTATATATGTTATATTTATTTTTAACAAATTGCCTATATTTTGAAAGAATTATTCTTAAAAATAAGCTATTTCTTTTTTTAAACTACTATAATTTCTTGAAAATTTAAAAAAAAATATTTAATTTAATATTTTTTAATTAAAAAATCTAAAATTAAACATTTTTTCTTAAATTTTAAAAAAATATCAAATTAAATATACTAGTATCTCTTAAACTGTGTTTTAGGCAAATTTGCCTAAAATTTAAAAAATATTTACAATTTTTTAAATAAAATTAAAAATTATTAATAATATAGGGTATATTTTATATATATAATATTTTATTTGAACCATATTTTATAAGCTTTATTATAAAATTTTTTAATTTTACTAGAAATCTTTAGAGTAATAAAAATTTAAAGCTCTTGTTTTAAAAATTTTTATTATAAAATTTTTCTTTAAATTTTCTAA